CCTGTAGGGAGAGGAGTTAGTGTGTGAGTCCTTCCCACTTCTCCTGGGTCTGATGTGAAGCCAGCTTGCTTCCCGTTGACACCACAGGGGAAATGTGGGGAGAGAGGGAGTCAAGGGGTGGAGGGAGAAGGGGCTTTGTATTTATAAGCCTGTAGTATGACATAGCTGGCTGACAATTCTATTGGGTTTGTGGGTGTGAGGACAGTGGAGGAAGGAGTTCAAAAAGACTGCCTTTCTGACCACTGCCAAGTCTCCTGTACTGCAGTAGGATTCATGGGGAGGGCTGCATTTTAGAACTTATTTTTTTAATTCTAAAGAGATCACAGATAATTCTGACTGCTGGGATGGCTTCCCAGCCCTCACAGATCCTATCCCTCACTGATAAGTGCTTTTTCATTTCTGGAGTCAATCAGCAAACATTGATTGAGTTCTTTCTGTGTGCCAGGCACTGTTCTAGGTGCTGGGGGATTAAAAAATATGAAACAAATCAGAGACTTTGTTTTCAAGGAGCTTGCATTCCAGTGGGGCATAAACATGTATAGAAGTAATTGCAGGAACTGAGAAGAACTGTAAAGAAGATAAAATGAGTAGAAAGGCATGACAGTGGTCAGAGAGGGCCTCCTGGAGGAAGTGACATTTGAGTTGAGACCTTAGATGTAGTGAGAAGGAAATAGCCCCTGAAGATCTAAGGGAAGGGTATTCCAAGGAGGAGAGTGGGTGGGTGGGAGTGGATCATGTGGGGCCTTGGTAAGGTGGGGGGATTTTCTTCTAAGCAAAGTAAGAAGCCATTGGAAGGCTTGTGGCTTATGTCAAGCAGAGGAGTGATATTTTCAAAGCTCACTCTGACTGCCATATGAAGAAAGGACTATAACTTTTTGGAGAAGAGGCTGTTGTGTTCCAGGTGACTGATGATAGAGGCTTGGGTTGGGGGGTCATAGTGTAAGAAAAGGTTGGATTCAGGATATATCCTGAAAAGGGTATTGAGACGGGGAAGGCTAAAGGAAACTATTTGGAGGAGGAAATGACTATTTCTATAAGTTTGAGGTACCATTGAGATACCCAAGAAGAATAGCATTTAGGAAGTTGGATGTGAGTCTGAAGCTCCAGTTCTTGGGCTGGAGATTTTTTAAATGTGGTCGTCAGTAGCATATAGAAAATATTTGGAGCTACAGGACCACCTGAGAACAGAAAATGCCTAGGGAAGGATAAGATTAAAAACTGAGCCCTGGGCCAGCCCAGTGGTGCAGTGGTTAAGTGCACACGTTCTGCTTTGGTGGCCCAGGGTTCGCCAGTTGGGATTCCAGGTGTGGACATGGCACCGCTTGGCACGCCATGCTGTGGTAGGTGTCCCACATATAAAGTAGAGGAAGATGGGCATGGATGTTAGCTCAGGGCCAGGCTTCCTCAGCAAAAAAGAGCAGGACTGGCAGTAGTTAGCTCAGGGCTAATCTTCCTCAAAAAACCAAAAACCAAAAAACTGAGCCCTGGGGCACACCACCATTTAGGAAACTAAAGGGGAAGGAGGAGCCAGCAAAGGAGACTGGAAAAATATGGCCAGAGAGGGAGGAGGAGAAGCTAGTGGAAATGGCCAACCATGACAACTGAGAATTTGAGTAAGATGAAGACAGAGAACTGATCTTTGTCTCTGGCCTGATATAGGTCACTGGTGACCCTGGTAAGGGCTTTGTAGAGTTGGGATGGAGATTAAAGTAGGATTAGAGTAGATTGAGGTATTTACTTCTTTTTGGTGGGGCATCAAGAAATGAGTAATATCAGTTGCCTCTGGGGAGGGAAACTGGGTGGCTGGGAGCAGGAGAAAGGGTTAACTGTAACCAAACAAGGGCTCCTTCTGCTCACCGCAATCAATTGTAAATGAATTGGTGGTCAAAGAAGGGATTTATTCAATTAGCCAGCAAAATTAGAAGATGGTGGACTCATGTCCCAAAGACCATCTTAAACAAGCATATAATCTTGAGGCAGTTATATAAAGACTAGTGGGCTATGAAGGAGTGGCTCAGGAATGTTGGCCATCTGCTATCAGTGACTGGAGACACCATACCAGGTCTTTTAGTTGTCATCAATGATGGATACCAGCATAGATGCTCTTCTCTGGGTAGGTTGCCATGTTCCTAAGAAACTCAAAAGAACAAAGTTATCATCTATCACTATTGGAAGGTACATGTGTCAGCCAGGATTATTTCCAAGGGAGTAGCTATTTATCTCCTAGGTGACATGCAAGGCAAAATGTATACAACTTGGGTGAGCTAATCAGAGGTTATTCTAAATTACAACATGGCTTCCCTCATGTCAACCTTGCTTCAGGCTAGTCTCAATTCCCCACTGTCAGTCATCCATTCCATATAGTCTTAGGGACTATGGCTATCATTTCTATCTGCCTGCTCACAAGGGGCATCATGGGGAATAGAGAAGTGGAACCAACAAACTTTGAGTTGAAAGTAAGTATTCTTGAGTAATAGGGCTGATTAACATTATATGAGACTTGTTAGTTGTTTTCCTTTTCAGTATTTAACATAACAGCAGGATAAGAAAAGGATACAAATTATCAGAAGGAGGCAAAACAGGGCAATTTTTATGATTTATCACTACTAGAATTAGACCCAATCAGACAAGAGAACTATCCAGTGAAACCAGAACAAACTTACGCATATTTTTGAATTAACTGATTCTCTTTCCCTGCTCCATAACAGTGACCTGTACTTGGTGTGAGATTACTCTAGCTTGCTCAAGAACATTCTGGATTTCTTGAGATGCTAAGTTTGGATTTTGCTCAGGCCGTTTATCTTCTATAAGTTTTCCCTCTTTAGGGGGTTTCAGTTCTAACTCCCAATAGTTTTCTTCATTGGTGTTATCATAGCTTTTGTTAGTTTCCAGAAAATGAACTTTACCTACAGCCTCTGTATTACACCAAATATTAGACAAATTTATTATGAACTCGGTTTGGTCGCAATAATGATCTGATAACTAGAGGGTATGATTCATGGCACCTTTCCAACAGAATCTCCCTTTTCCCATGCACCAAATGCTATCTTGAACCAGAGTTCTTACCACAGGCCAAGTCAAGGTAATCTCTGAGTTCCATTGCTCTTTTGGGCACAGCCGTATACCATTACATTGTACACAACCCAGAACTGAAATTGGTTCCCATCAGGATAGTGAGTTATTTGAGGAAAAGAGGGCCCAGTGACTTTCTGTGGGAAGTATCCAATAATTGCTGTGGAGGGTTCCTATTCCTACAAGCTATACTACTTCATGTTTGAAATCTTTTCTTAATTTGAGTAGTAAGGCAGTCAGGGAACAACAATGTAGACTGCGGTTTCCTTCAGTTGTCTCCCACATATTTGGTGTCTCATATATTTCCTATAAATGGGTTTCTTGGGCCTCGGCTTTTAGGCTAGTGGGCCATTGTTTCATTGCTACTTTTGATTCCATTTGGAGAAGCATGTCCATTATGCTCTGCTGGGTAGAGGTGTATGCTTTTTCCCACAGTTGAGGTTTAGCATATTTTGTGATTATTTCCTGAGTTTTGTTTATCCATTTGCCTAAAGCTTGGTTGGTCTTCCAGACCACTTCCCAACCCTTTCCTTCTTCTTGAAATAATAATCCACCTAATTTTTCTGAGGTAGTTAAGTATTTCTTCTCTTGCCCATGACGGTATTCATCAAAGGCCATTTCCTCTTGACCCAACACACCTAATCCAGCCTCAACTGATCCTAAAATATCTCTTTTTGTCCTTTGGGGCCACTGCTGATGTAACCACCAGATATATTGTGTCTATTGAGGCATGATCATTTCACTAAAATTTGGTTATAAAGTGTTGACCCAAAAATGTTGAGTTCCCCAGACCAGATTAAGATGTGTGGTTGTAACTCCTAAATAAAGGATAGTTTGAGTAGACCAGAGAGCTTCCCATGATTGTCCTTTACAAATAGTGGGGAGGCCAATTATCAGCAGTAGTCTACCAGTTTATTCTTACTGCATGTGATCGTCCCTTCTTATTAGAAGTTTCAGTTTTTGGTACCCATCCACAAAAACACGGCTGAGGGGAATGGGGACACATGGCACTATGACAGGAAACACAAGGTTTGGCTAAGTACCTGCTGTTATAACCTGGTATTCTTTTTAGTGGCTCATCATTGATTCCAATGGCAACACAATAATGTTGATACCTATTGGTGGCACTGGTCCTGATTATTTCTCTACGGAAAACGTTCCCCAGGAGAAGTTCCTGAGCAGTTTTCCCTAAAGCCTGTCCTATAAAATAAATGTACCCTGTAAAGTCCAAATTAATGGGTAGGTCTTAGACAGGTTCAGGAGTCTGGATCTCTTTTAAACTCTGGGTGTTCGTATTATGTAAAAATACTAGACTCATAGAATTCAAGTGGGCAGTCTGGCCATCCATCAAGGGATCAAGGTTAGTGACTTTTCTCCATGACCAGTAATCAACAGTCAGAAAGGAAGGAAGGGGGCTGGTCCAGTGGCGCAGCGGTTAGGTGTGCACATTCTGCTTCGGCGGCCCTGGGTTTGCCAGTTTGGATCCCTGGTGCGGACATGGCACTGCTTGGCACACCATGCTGTGGTAGGCATCCCACATATAAAGTGGAGGAAGATGGGCATGGATGTTAGCTCAGGGCCAGTCTTCCTCAGCAAAAAGAGGGGGATTAGCAGCAGTTAGTTCAGGGCTAATATTCCTCAAAAAAAAAAAAAGAAAGAAAGAAAGAAAGAAAGGGAGGAGATTTCTGGAAGTTATAACTGACATGAGAGAATCCCATAACCATTCATAGCAAGACAGAAACAAATTGTCTTTTGAGCACTAGAGGAAATGTTAAAGCTTGTATGATTCCCTGTATTTGTCCTGAGTATTGCGTAAAGATTAAAGAACTTTACGGAATATGTATCTTAAATCCTTGGTGGGTTTGCACTTCCATGAGGGGGTCTCAGGTTGCTCGGTTGTCTCCTCCAGTGGAGCTTGTTTTATCCAGGTATGACGCATCCACACTTTTACTCCAGCGAACTTCACGGAAGGATGAGTAGTGAGAAGAATGTCAAAGGAGCCTGCCCATGGAGCAGACAGCTGATTCTTGCTGTTTCCAAGTTTTGAGCAGGACTCAGTCACCTGACTGGTAAGACTGTAAGGAGCCATCAGATGGGTAGATTGACCTCTTGGAGGCAAACTCATGAACAGAGGTTAGTATAGAACTTAGAGATTTTACATGATTGGTGATCATTATATCCTGTAAGCCTTCCAGAGAATTTTTCCCAAGGGAGGAATCCTGAAATGGTCTACCATACAGAATTTCAAGAGGGCTTAATTGAAGCCTGCTGTGGAGGGCTACTCTGATTTGCAAGAGGGCAAGGGGTAGCACCTTATCCCAAGTTAATTGTGTTTCCTGGCAAATCTTAGGAGTGTTCTTCTTTAGGGTGTGGTTCACCTTCTCTGTTTTCCCCATTGACTCAGGCCTCCAAGCCCAGTGGAGTATCTACTTGAGGGCTAGTACCTTAGAGATTTGTTGTGTGACTTGTGATATGAAAACAGGTCCATCGTCGCTCTGCAAAGTATTAAACAGGCCAAATCTAGGAATAATTTTTTTTAGCAGAATGCTAGCTACTTGTGATGCCTTTTCAGTTTGGGTGTGAAATGCTTCTACCCACCCAGAAAAGGTATCCACAAAAACTGACAAAGGCCTGCCGTTTTCAGTTACTCATGGCATCTGAGTAAAGTCTATTTGCCAGTCTTCAGTAGGCCAGTCCCCTTTACGTTGGGTTCCCTTATGAGGGGAAACTGGGACTTCCTTGGGGTTGTTTTTTGCTCAAATCATGCAGTTTTTGGTCACCTGCTATACAGTCTTTTGTAAATGAGGCCCTATGATGTACCTCTGAACCCATTTTAGAGTAGTATTCATTTCATAAGGGGTGCTCTCATGTACACGTTTTAAGATGGGGTACTAGAGGGCCTCCAGGATCAGAATTATTCCTCGGATGTCACTTTTCCATCCTGCTGGGTGTTCAGCATTGTACCCCTATTCTTTTGCCAGTCCAAGTCCTTTTCTGAATATTTTGGGCAGTATCCAAATAGATCTATCTGTGGCAATGGGGAGCCCATCATAGTGGGGGTCTCTATTTTAGTGGCCCTTTGGGCTGTTTGATCAGCCAGCCAGTTGCCCTTGGCAATAGGGGTTTCCCCCTTTGATGGCCAGGGCAATGTATCATGGCCACCTGGGAGGGCTCATTGATAGCTTCCAACAGTTGTAGTATTTCTGGGCTGTGTTTGATTTCTTTTTTGTCTGTCATTAGGAATCCTTTCTTTCCGGATTGCCCTCTGGGCATGTACTACTGAAAATGTATGCCAGGAATCTGTATAGATGTTCATCTTTATTCCCTGTACCAAGAATAAAGCTCTGATGAGGGCCATGAGTTCAGCCTTTCGCTGAAGTCCCTGGGGGCAAGGCCATAGCTTCCAGGGTTTCTTGCAAAGTCACAACCACATATCCAGAGCATCTCATACCTTGGTTCATGAAGCTACTACCATCCGTGAAGAGGTCCAGGTCAGGTTCCTCCAATGGCTGGTCCTTTAAATCTGGCTGGCTGGAATAAACTGTCTCAGTGACCTGTAAGCAGTCATGTTCTAAGGCTTGTAACATTTCACTGGGAGGCAAGGTGGCTGGGTTCAGAACTGAGGTGACTTGTAGCCTGACATTTGGGTTATCCAGTAGGATGGCTTGATAATTGCCCATCCTTCCTGATGTGAGCCAGTATCCCCCTTTCTGTTCCAATAATGTGAGGACACGGCAGGTACATCTATTGTGGTCGGTTGGCCTGAAGTAAACTTTTCTGCCTCTTGAAGAATGTCACAAGTGGTTGCTACTTCCCAGAGGTAAGGGGGCCAGCCCTTCACTGTTTAATCCAATTGTTTAAAGAAATAGGCCACAGGCCTAGAGGTGGTTCCCAACTTTTGAGTTATCACTCCTAGACTTACACCCTGTCTTTCATGTATAGAGACTGAGGGCCTTATCTAGGGCTGGGGCTCGAATCAGCTTAGCCTTAACGGTGTCAAATGCCAATTGGCACTTTTTGGTCCAATTTAAAGATTCTCAGAGCCTCATAGAGGGGTTTTACTATGAGTCCATAATTAGAAATCCAAATCCTACAGAAGCCTTCCATTCCCCAAAACCCTTGCAGTTGTTGGCAGGTTTTGGGAGGACTTAAACATGCTATGGCCTTCTACTGGTCTGGTAATAATTCTCTTTGGACTTTGGATATTGTAAATACCAAGTATGTGACTTTCTGTTTACAGATTTGGGCTTTCTTTTGTAAGACCTTGTATCTGCATTCTACCAGGTAATTTAAAGTTTTTACTGTGTTGGCCAAACACTGTTCATAAGTGAGACTTGCTATCAGCAAGTCATCCACATACTGTAATAGTCCCTCTTGTAATTCCAAATGGCTTAGGTCTTTGGCCAAGTCTTCCCCATATAGAGTGGGAGAATTTTTAAATCCCTAGGGTAGGACTGTCCAACAATATTGTTGAGTTGTCTGAGTATCTGGATCACGCCATTCAAAAGCAAACAATTATTTGGTTTCCTCTGCTAACAGTAAGCAGAAAAATGCATCCTTTAAGTCCAGGACTGAGAACCAACCATATTCTCCTGGTATATTTGTTAATATAGTGTAAGGGCTGGGCACCACAGAGTGCAAGTCCTGAACCACCTCATTTATGGCATGCAGATCTTGGACAGAACGATATTCGTCAGAATTAGGCTTCCCTATTGAGAGAATAGGGGCTAGGCTTCCTTCTCTTTTTCCTTTAGGGGTATATGTACTGGCTGAGCGTTCTTTGCTCTCCCTGGTTTCCCATCTGCCCAGACATTGGGCCTTACCTTCTTGTAGATTTTGGGTGGCAACAGATCCAATTCTGGTTCCTGGATATCCAGCAAAGCCATCTGTAACCTCAGGGATTGTTCCAGAGACACTTGTTTATTGAGTTGTCCTGGAGCAAAAGTCACTTGTGTGTTTGATTTATAAAGGAGATCTCAGCCCAAAAGGAGAATAGGGCATTCTGGCATGTACAGAAAACTGTGTTTTAATGTCAAGGGCCCTATGTGACACTCCAATGGTTGTAGGAAAGCACAATTTTGGATTTTTCCAGGTACCCCTGTGACGGGTTGGATTTGCCATTTTTTGTGCTAATTTGGTATTTAAAACTGAATGTGTAGCTCCAGTATCAGCTAGAAAGTCAACCCATTTGTTTCCCACTGTCAGTTGTGCTCAGAGCCCTTGTGGGGAAATTGGGATACAGTGTTTTGTGTCTAAGATAGTCCCTGGGCACCTTCAGTCCTCATCAGAGTGTTCCACTCTATTAACCACCTGGGTGGCTTCTCTTTTCTTTTCTTTCATACTCTCTTTATGCTTTTTAAGGCATTCCCTTTTCCAACGTTCTTCCTCTTTGCGATAGTCACATTGTTTCTTTCCTAAGGGGCACTTACTTCCCTTCAGTTGGCTGGACCTTCCCCTGGAACGATTTGGCTTCTGTCCACTCAGAGGAGCTGCCAGAAAAGCAGCATTTCTTTTAGCATCTCAGTGTTTTATCCGTCGTTCCCTGTTGTTGTACACCTTAAAAACAATGTCTACCAACTGAGAGAGATTCATACCTAACACCGCACCCAGTTTCTGCAGTTTCCTTCTAATATCTGGGGCACTTTGTGCTGTGAAAGTCATGTTCACCATCCTAAGGTTCTCAGGGGCTTCTAGAGCTGCATCTGTGTAACGCCTATAGGCTTGGTAGATTCTTTCTAGAACTTCCGAAGGACCTTCATGGGGTTTTTGTTAAATGCTTTGTATCTTATTTAGACTTTTCTGCTTAAAGGAACTCCCATTTTTAATCTGGGCAGAATATGCCTCTTATAATGTTCTAGCCTGAGTCTCTCTGCATCATCATTGGGGTCCCATGCTGGCTCAGCAATGGGAACCGCAACATTTGCTTCAAGGGTACCAGTGGGATCTGCCAGATGGAGCGTTTGCTTCTTCTCTTGCTTTATCAATTATTATCCTTCTTTCAGCACTGGTTAGGAGCATATTCATCAAGATATGAACATCGGTCCAGGAGGGATGGTAAGTAGCAAAAATGGAGGAAGATAACTCAGTCATTCTTTGTGGATCCTCCCTCCCTATAGGGTGGATTATTGTTCTTCCAATTAAACAAGTCAGAAATGCAGAAGGGGTTGTGCATCCATACAAATCCTGCTGGTTGGTCCTGGCCATTTACCCCTGCAGGATATTGTCACAGTGAAAATTGCCCCACTCTGACAGAAGCCCCCTGGCAGAATTGTGTCCCTTGTTTGGTCCGGGAAGGGGAAACCCTGTCTCCTAGTCCTGGTCCCATGTCAGGCATTCTTCCCATGGTGGTTGGTGGCCCTGGAAGAGGGGGCACCACCAGGATTGTAAACTGGGGATTCAAAGTTCGTAAAATCATTACATGATGATCATCCTTTTGTCCCTTCTGTAACACATGGGGTCTCTGTACCATTAAATAGTCTTTCCCTTATTTTTTCTTATCCTGATGTAGTAACATGAAAGCTTGTACATATGGGATCTCATCACCTTTCCCTGTGTTTTTGCAAAAGAGTTCAAGCTATTGTGTAATGGTTTAATGTTCCATTTGTTGGTCATTTTTCCCCAGAAACTAAAATATACTGAGACCAGGCAGTGTTACAGTAAAAGATCATCTTTTTTCTTTGTCATTGGTTCAAAACTAAAATCTGCCCATTGGGTCAGTTTGAGACCCAGGGGACTTTTCTTGGGCACAGATGGCACAGCACCCATACTCACACACCACACAGACATCACATACACACACACACAAGTTAACATAGACTAGTCCACCAGATATTGCAGGTAGTCCTAGAACTGTTCCCTCTGAAAAATGGCACCTAGGAACAGATGGACCCAAGACAACTTGGGCCCTCAGACAGAGGGAAGAGTGTTCTCGGGAGTGCACTCTGAGGTGACTTACCCTACTCTAGATGTGAATTCATGAACTCATAGATGCTTATCCATTTCTCCTTCCACCGAGAAAGGCATTGAAAGTAGTTGGCAATTGGAGGAACTCAGGGAAAAGTCCCTGGGAGAAAGTAAAACCCTGGCAGCTGCTGAGAGTGCCCCAAGATTTTTCCTGAGTTGACTAGCCACAGACAGAATCTAGTCCCTTTGTGGTTGCTAAAAATTGTAACCAAGCAGGGGCTCGTTCTTCTTGCCACAACTGTGAAGCTAATCAATTGCAAATGAGTCAGTGGTCAAGAAAGGGATTCATTTGATTAGACAAGCAAAATCAGAAGATGGCAGACTCATGTCCAAAGACCATCTTAAACAAGCATATAATCTTGAGGCAGTTATATAGGGACCAGTGGGCTATGAAGGAGGGGCTCAGGAACGCTGGCCATCTGACCTCGGTGACTGGAGACACCACACTAGGGCTTTCAGTTGTCATCAATGATGGATACCAGCATAGATGCTCTTCTCTGGGGAGGTCGCCATGTTCCTAAGAAACTCAAAAGAACAAAGTTATCACCTATCACTATTGGGAGGTACATGTGTCAGCCAGGATTATTTCCCAGGGGGTAGCTATTTATCTCCTAGGCTACATGCAAGGCAAAATGTATACAACTTGGGTGAGCTAATCAGAGATTACTCTAAGTTACAACATGGCTTCTCTCATGCCAACCTTGCTTCAGGCCAATATCATAACCTTACTTTTGACTATACAGTGGTCCCCTCCTTATCCACAGGAGATGAGTTCCAAGACCCCCGCTGGATGCCTGAAACCACAGATAGTACCTGAACCCTATATATACTATGTTTTTTTCCAATACATACATACCTATGATAAAATTTAATTTATAAATTAGGCACAGTAAGAGATCAACAACTAATAATAAAATAGAACAATTATAACAATATACTGTAATAAAAGTTATGTGAATGTGGTCTCTCTTAAAATATCTTATTGTACTGTACTCACCTTTCTTCTTCTTGTGACAATGTGAGATGATAAAATGCCTACGTGATGAGATACAGTGAGATAAATGATGTAGGCATGGGGATGTAGTGTTACGCTACTACTGACCTTCTTACAATATGTCAGAAGGAGGATTGTCTTCCGGACCATGGTTGACCAAAGATAACTGAAACTGCAGAAAGCAAAAACATGGATAAGGGGGGACTACTGTACTGTATATCTTTTTGTGTTTTTTTATACCCTGTTACAGGCACCTATTTAAAATGCTGCAATGGGTTGAGGAAAGAATGGACAGTAAAGCAAAAGAGTGGTTTTATCAAACATAGGCAGCTCTTTGGAGATGTTTTGCTGGGAAAAGGAAGTGAAAAATGGGTTGATGTGGGGTCAAGGAAAGGTTGTGTGTGTGCGTGTGTGTACGTGTGTGTGTGTGCATGTGTGTGTGAGGAAGATTGGCCCTGAGCTAACATCTCTTGTCAGTCTTCTTCTTTTCACTTGAGGAAGATTGTTGCTGAGCTAACTTCTGTGCCAATCTTCCTCTATGTTATGTGGGATGCCACCACAGCATGGCTTGATGAGCGATACTAGGTCCACGCCCAGGATCTGTGAACTCTGGGCCACTGAATCAGAGTGCACAAACTTAACCACTATACCACCAGAATGGCCCCATGGAAAGGTTTTTTAAAAGAATGTTTATACATTGATGAGAGTGGTCCAGCAGAGAGGGGGAAATGGACAATGCAGAAAGGGGATGGTCTGGCTGCAGGAACAAGATCCTTAAAGAGACCAGAATGATGGGATCCGGAGCCTAGGGTGGTGGGTGGGGATAGGGGCTGGCCTTAGATAGGAGCTAGGACAGACAATTCATCTCATGTAAGAGGAAGGAAGGTGGGGTTGTGGGTTTAAATACAGTAGGCTGGTGGAATGGGTAGTAGGACGATGAGATCATCAGTTAAGGGTGGCTGTGTGTGTGGGAGAGAGTAGAAATTCAAGAAGAAAGAATGTGTGAAACGATCATTCCAGGGAGTGGAAAAGCAGGTTTCCTAGGGTACCAGTGATAGGTTTGTTTGGCAGTATTGAGTGCCTATTTGAAATTTGGGGTCACAAAATTGAAGTCTAATGGTTGAGAGGGGGTGTCTCTAGAAGAAAGGAGCTGGAATTACTTCCCTTTCAGTTCAGTCCCTCTGCATTTAGAGGTCTGCCTTGATTTCTCTTGGGCAGAGAGGTCTTTCGGCTGTGCTGTTGTGGCTCCTTGGATACTTCTTGGTGGTGAGGGGCTATCGGAAAGTGGCATGACATGGATACACATGAGTGGACAGAGCTGGGATTACCAGGCATTTAGAACAGCACTGACAGCAAAAGACTATCCAGCTCTTGGAAGAGCTGCTGGTGATAGGACAACAGGATGTGTTGGTAATGGGATGGACGTGTGGATTGTTTATTTTTCTTTTTGAGTAATATTAGCCCTGAGCTAACTGCTGCCAATCCTCCTCTTTTTGCTGAGAAAGACTGGCCCTGAGCTAACATCCATGCCCATTTCCTCTACTTTATATGTGGGACACCTACCACAGCATGGCGTGCCAAGTGGTGCCATGTCCGCACCCAGGATCCAAACTGGCGAACTCCGGGCTGCCGAAGCAGAACGTGTGAACTTAACCCCTGTGCCACTGGGCGGTCCAGACATGTGGATTTTGGGGTGCTGGCTTTTGATATTGGCACTGGGTTGGTGGCGATGGCATGTAGGCAGTAGGGTGTTGGCATTGGAATGTTGGCATTGGGCTGTTGGCCCTGGGGGGGGGTGGGGAGGGAGCGTTTAAAGGGCCAAGGACTGTTATGGATGCTCACAGCATGGGGCAGCCCTGAGGGACACCAAGAAGGGTTGCCACTGTGAGGTACAAACAAAATTGTGTAATTGGAGAGACCAGAATGAAGCCTAGCCAAATCTATAGAGACAGAATAGACAGTGGTTGCCTGGGGCAAGAGGTGGGGATAGACAGTAACTGTAAATGGGCCTGAGAGATCTTATTGGAGTGATGAAAATGTTCTAAAACTGGGTTATGGTGATGGTTATACAACTCAATAAATTTACTAAAAAACATTGAATTGTACACTTGAAATGGATGAATTTCATGATATGTAAATTACACCTCAGTAAAGTTAAAAAAAAAAAAAAAAAGAATGACCTAGCGTTATGCCTGGCATATAGCAGATCCTTAATAAGTAATTATTTTTTTTATTTTAAGATTTTATTTTTGTCTTTTTCTCCCCAAAGCCACCCAGTACATAGTTGTATATTTCTCATTGTGGGTTCTTCTAGTTGTGGTATGTGGGACGCTGCCTCAGCGTGGTTTGATGAGCAGTGCCATGTCCGCGCCCAGGATTCGAACCAACGAAACACTGGGCCGCCTGCAGCGGAGCGCACGAACTTAACCACTCGGCCACGGGGCCAGCCCCTAATAAGTAATTATTGAATGAACAAACAATCTTTGCCAACAAGGAGGGATGTCTTTTGACAGCTGGCGATGTTTTTCACAATGAGCATATATTACTCTTACAATCAGAAGAAAATGATACTGAACCTCTTAATCTCAAGTTTGTGTGCCTGATGCACAGTAAGCCAATCACTGAAACATCGTACTTGGACATGGAGAAAGGTTTTTTTCGAATTGGCCAAAACAAGAAGGTGGGAGGATGAGTTCTCTCAAATCTGCCTTCACAAGAAAAGCAAGGGGTCTTATAGAGCTAAGGGGCTTGGCAGGAGGAGTTTTGGAGAAACAAAGGAGAAATTCATGTTTCTTTCATTCCACATAAATCCTTAGGGCAATCTGACTTCTGGGCGACAATAACTGACAGCTGGAGGCTGGTTATCGGGTGATCATAACTTCCTTGAAGGCATCCTCTTTCTTGTGTAAAACAAGCTCATAAATCCTTGTGACCCTTGAGTTACCCCTCAGGTTAAACAAGAAAACAGCAAATTAGCAAGATTAACTTCTTTTCATCTATGTCTGTGTTGGGGAAAAGGTCGAAGGGTAATCCTGTTCTTGTTGAATATTTGCAGTTACCCTCAGGCTCCTGGCTTCAAAAACAGTTTTTTTAAAGTGGTGGTGGCCCTGGGAGTTCTGTCTCAGTCCTCGGTTCTTCTCATTCAAAATGTCCTTCCTGTGCTGAGTCCTTCACACCTGTGGTTTCCGCTCTCACCTGCCTGCTGTTAGCGCCCACACAACCCAGCTCCCTTTGCTCCTCTTCAGGCCCAGGTAGGCACTGCCTGCTGGGTTTCCCTTCCTGAAATCCCATGTTCCCAGGCACCATGTTCCAAACATACCCATCATTTCCATGTCCCCCAACCTGCTCCTCTTCCTATTCCCCATCTCACTGACTAGCCCCAGCCTCCACCCTGTGGTCTAGCTGGTATCCTGGAGGCATCCTGGACCTTCCCCCACCCCACCCCTGCCATACCAGAGCCACCACCATGCCTGACCTTCCACCTCATGGCCTCCCTCTTCCCATCCCCACTGCCACCCTTGGTCAGCCTCAGCTGCCTCTGCCTCTATTCCTTCGCTAGACAACCCTCCTCCACACTCAACCTGAGTGACCAACCTAAAGTGTAAATGTAGTCACCTGACACTCCTCCTTAAATTTCTCTGATCTCGTAGTCTGCAGGATAAAGTCCAAATTCCAGAGCAGGGGCCATTCAAGGCTCTCCACCCACCTCTCTGTTTACCACTCTCCAGTTCCTCCCACGCTCAGAACACCTCCAGGACTTTGTGTCTGCTGTTACCCCTGCCTGGACCACTCTTTCCCTCATCCACTGGAAAACCACCCATTCTTCAGGGGCTCAGTGCTATGAAGCTTTCCTCAGCCCATCCAAATGGAGGTGTGATTCTCCTCTCCAGGTTCCCTTATTGCTGTGTACCCTTGTATGTGTACCCCCTCAAGTGTGTGCCATCTCAAGGGCAGGGGCTTTGCCTTCTACCTGTGCGGCCTCCACACCTGATAATGGGCCTGGCACAGAGTCCAATTCCTATTTCCTGGGAACCTGCATTAGCTGCCCACGGCTCAGCCTGCCCAATGACTACAAATGAGAGAGCATGGTGTGACCTTGGAGGGGGCCTTGGCTGGACCCTGTGGGTAAAGATCATGTCTTCCTTGTTCTTTGCTATGTCCTATTGCCCAGCACAGGGCCTGGCTCAATGAACACTTTGAAAGGACAGAAGTGTGCAGGCATGAATAAAATGAATCTGACAAATAAAAATGGCAAGCAATAGGATATATTGGAGAATATGAGGAAGCCATTTGGTGTAAACCTAACTCGGCCTGACCTTGTCTTTCCAAAAGGGCCTGACCGAGGCCATTGAGCATGCTTGTATATCTGCTTTAGAGATTCCCTATGGCAAGAGCAAAGGCCCTTGAGATAAAGGTGCAACTTCCCTCCCCGTCCAAACGTTGGCGTCTCTTTAAGGATTAAGCATCTTTCCTTAGGCTGGAAACTGATTGCTGCGCTCACCTGTGACCGCCCAGCTTGAGACAATAGACTTGCTTCCTGCTGCACCCTTGGAGATAGCAGACCACTCCCTGCCGTGTCCATCAAGCTCTGTGCTGACAGGGCAATCTTGTGACTATTGTGGGAGGGACATTTCAATCATATGTGAAATGTCCTGTATTGGGGTATATAACCACTCTGTATACCTCACTTCCTTGGTGCCCCTTCTTCCTTCGGGAAGAAAGGCCCCGGGCCATGGTCCTCAGATTACAGCTCAGAATAAACTCACCCAAATTTTCATTTATAGATTGGTTATGGATTATTTTCGTCGACAAACCCCAGTAGTGGGAAAGGCCCAGAGATAGTCTGGCCCACCCCA